TCAGTGGGGTGGTAAATAAATAGTGCTTCTCCCTACTTGAGGGATGGGAAAGACTCTCTGAGTGCCCTGCAGTGCCGCTTGGAGGGACAGAAGGGAACGAACCACCAAATAACCACCCAACCTGGAGGCTTCCCAGAGTTCCAGGTGTTAGCTCCTGATGATGGAACACTTTGTCAGGCAAATTTGACTTTAAAACAAATGATTGTTAATTTTTCTTTTCTCTGAAAAGTGGTGCACTGTTGAAACAACAACCTTTCCCCCTCTTTCTCTCTTCTCTTCCTCTTTCCTTGGTGACATGTGACGTGTCGTGTCCGAGTCCGAATGCCCCCTGGAGGAGGGAGTGTTCTCTCTTACACCGCCAGTCTCACTAAGGTAAAGCCGGTGACATGCAGGATTTAGCTTTGGAAATAACTATTTACCTTTACATTTTTGATTGCTTTAAAATAGACCTGATTGCTATGTTTGTCCTGTACAGCCTAGTCCGTGCCTGTGTCCTTTTCTATAAGGGTACAAAATCAATCTCGGGAGAAAGAACGTTTTTGCTTTGCAGCTCTGTGGTTCTATGTGTCTGGGAAGGGTTCTCAGACTGAACCTCTGTTTTTCTCTCTGTGCTCCCAGTCAAAAAACAGTGGATTGACTGAGACGGCCAAGAAATTCAACATCATTACTGGTCCATTCTCCTGAACAGTTCTTACATAGTGTGGCTCTTGCCTAGTGTACTAATGATTTGCATATGGCTCTCATTGTGAACACCAGTCTTGGCCTGGCACAGGGCCCCATGAGTCAGCCCACGTGTCATCAGCTCTGTCGGGCTCCATCTCATCCTGGCCCTGTCCCTATGTGGACTCTGTTATTGGGACAGAGTTTAGGATGTATTTTATTCATTTTACTGCCGAGGTAGACCAAAAAATGACAGTCTCCTCTCCTCTCAATTGTAGAAATGTCCTGAGCTTATTGTATTTTTTTACCACTTTTCTCCTGGCTTCCTCATATTCCTTTGAGACACTATGTGAAGCAGATAGATGGCGACCACTCAGTTGAGGTTGTGCATCTTGTTTGTCTCAGCTTTCAGCCTTGTAGTTGTTCTGTCTTTGATCAGACTGGCACTGCCTTTGCCTGGGGTTGGGCTGAGAGCGAATTTCTGAAATATCAAAGAGGAAATTGTGCTAATTGCAATAAATTCTGTCCATAAGATTCCAAGTTAACAATGTTAAAGAAAGAAGAGTTTAATATGTACCAGGAGAAGTCACAATGCAAAATAAGAATGAGTGTGTGTTTGATTTTAAATCAACATTCTTAAGTTGGATAGATGTAATATATTTAGGTATTTTCTGTTCACTTTCTTCAGGTTGAAAGGGTAAATATGCACTTGTCTTTGTGTACAAAGAGCAGAATGACGCGTGTCCGTAAGAAGCCGTAGAATTCTGAGGGAGGGGCTCAGGGCTGAGCTGCCCTGTGGATCCTGTGGAACAGGTGGTGAGCTAGGGAGCCACCGTCCGTGACCAGGTGGTGGACTGGCTCGGTTCCCGAGAGGAGACTGGGACTGTGAGGACTCTGTCTCTATCTGCTGGGAGAGGAGGCCTCGGGCTGACCTCCCACGCATAAGGGCACGGCAGGCAACTCAGTAACTTGATGTACACTTAGGCAAACTTCTGACCAAGATTGGGTGGGAAAGATGGGGAGATGGTGAAATCCCACTGATAGTTTTACTTCAATATTGGGTATAAGGCAGCCAAAGAAAATCCAGATGGGGCTAAAATTACCTCAGAAGGAACAGCTGACTGCTGAGAATGTGGATCCCGAAGCTTCACTGATATGAAGAAATAACGTTCTTTGGTGTCTTGAAACATGAGGAGGGAGCATCCCCAACAGACAAAGAAACTCTAGAAAGTGGCAAGAGCAATGGGATGAGTGTGTGTGGTGCCAATGGGAGTATTCTGAAGGAAATTAATGGCAATGAGTCTTTGACTGTGATAATTTTTATCATTTAAACATTGACCTCATTTTTTATCACACCATGCAATACTGTGGCAGTTAATCTTGTCAACTCGATGAAGTTGAGAAACACCTGGGAAGTTAGGAAAGTACACCTCTGTGTGGGTGTCTACAGGGGTGTTTCTGTGACAGCTGACGTGTGGCCAGCAAGCTAACAGGGAGACTGCCCTGAGCCTGAGTGTAGCCAGGGCCACCCAGCAGAGCAGAGGCCCAGGTGGGGCACGAGCAGCAGGAGGAGGAGGCTCGCCAGCGAAAGCTCTCGTCCTACGTCTCCCCCTTCAGTTGGTTAATATTTGCTTGGTTGCTGTGAGTCTCACTGTAACAGGCCTGGCACTGGGCTTCAAGTTTAGAGCGGGAGTTAATTCCCCCTCCCTCCCCTCCAGGGAAAGATGCTCGGGGTTGGGGTTGGTGACACAGGCAGCTCTCTCCTCCCTGCCTTTGTCAATGTGCGCTTTCTTCTTGTTGTACTAAAACCAGGCACTGTGGTCCCTCGAGTGGCTTCCTTGCTCTTGTGAAGGTAGCTTGGGGCATGAACAGCTCTTTGGATTTGTGTCTCCTTGAAGAGAAGACCACTGGAGGATCTCACTCAGTTAACCACTTGCTTCCCCTTCTCTCCATGTAAAATCAAAATCAAAACGTTTCAGAAAAATTAACACATTGCATCAGTGTCTTTATTGACACATTTGGAGGAAGCTGAATAAATTTTCAGTAGTGAACACTTTTCTTGAATTTGACATATATATGACTGGTTTGTCTGTTAGTTGCTTAAGAGCTATTTAAACGTTGAGAAAATATGTTGACTAGATTTGTGCATAAAGAAATTTAAAATTAAGAAGCACAGGCATTACTAATAGTTTCTCCCAAAAGTGGCCCTTGAAATTCGAAGATGTAGAAATATCTCTAATAGTCGCCATGTAAAATCTCATGGGAAAGGAATGTAAGCATTTAGGAACATACCACTGTATACTAACATCGGGAAATATTATAAATGTGAATTTATTTAAGTAAGCACGAGGAAAATTATCATGGCTACCTAGTACCCTGGAGGAATGTTTTAACTTCAGTCAGGTGAACAGCCTGAAGAGAATATAGAGTATATTCCCATTCTACTTGGGAGATGAGATTCATAATTTAATGTGGGTTTTTTGTGCAAATTTACATCTGATCTTTTTTTCTTTTTACATCTGATCTTGGAAAAATGTGTGGTTTTCTTGAGTTTTTAAGTTAAATGGAAGAAAATATTATTATGCACGGTGAGTGCTTACACCACCTGAGCGCTTACAAATAACATAAAGTTTGCTTGTGCCCTTTAGGTGAAATCACTTCAGCCACATACTGCATCATGTGGCCGGCCAACCAGACTCTGGGTGGCAACTTCTTCCTGTTGGGGATCTTTGGCCAGTCCCCACACCCTGGCTTCCTCTCTTTGTTCATCTTTGGTCTTTTTCTGATGGCTGTATTTGGGAATGCTGTACTGATACTTCTGATCCACGTTGACTCTTCTTTGCATACTCCCATGTACTTCTTTATCAACCAGCTCTCATTCATGGACCTGACATACATTTCTGTCACTGTGCCCAACATGCTGGTGAGCTACCTGACCGACAGGGCGAGCATCTCAGTCACTGGGTGTGGGACCCAGATGTATTTTTACCTGATGCTGGGAGGTGCCGAGTACTGTCTTCTAGCTGCCATGGCCTATGACCGCCATGTGGCCATCTGCCGTCCTCTCCGTTACCCTGTCCTGATGAGCCGTAGGGTGTGTCTCCTCCTGGCCTCCTGCTGTTGGTTCGTGGGCTCATTAGATGGCTTCGTCCTCACTTCCATTACCATGACCTTCCCCTTCTGCAGGTCCCGTGAGATCCACCATTTCTTCTGTGAGGTTCCTGCTGTGTTGCAGCTCTCCTGCTCTGACACCACTTCCTACAAGATTTTCATGTACCTGTGCTGTGTGCTCATGCTCCTCATCCCCGTGACAGTCATTCTAGGCTCCTACTACTCTATCATCCTTGCCATTCACAGGATGACTTCTGCTGAGGGCCGCAAGAAGGCCTTCACCACCTGCTCCTCCCACATGACCGTGGTCAGCCTCTTCTATGGAGCTGCCGTCTACAACTACATGCTCCCCAGCTCCTCCCACACCCCGGGGAAGGACATGGCCATGTCCTTCTTCTACACCATCATTGCACCTGTCCTGAACCCTGTTATCTACAGCCTCCGGAACAGGGACGTTGCAAGGGCTCTGAGGAAGGCGCTGAAAGCAGGGAAGCTGCACACCGAAGCATGAGGGTCCATCTTCTCTTACAGAGAGTCCCCTCTTCCCTTCATGTGTCCTCCTGGCAAGTGACCAGCTGGTCTGGGTGGCATCTGCCTCCCTGAGTTGCCCCTCGGGGATTTCAGCCCAATTTTCCTCTGTCCCAAAATCAGGTGCTCATGTTTGAGATGGGGCTCACTTTCCCTTTTCTCATAGCATCGACCTCTACTCTGCTCCCTGAACCCTTTTAGATTACAGTGGAGAAATATGAAAATCCGTCTGTGCTGGTGGTGCTCAGAGAAACCTCTTGCTGTGAAGAGTGCTTCAGTTTTGATGACAGCACAGACCCGTGATTGGTGTGAAGCGAAACAGCATCCCCACTACTCAGCATTCACTCTGCACCAAGCCCCCATCATGTGCTACCTTGTTAGACTCACCGTGGGGACCCCACATCACCCACATTTCCCAGAAGACAGGGACTGTGAGGCACCCCCTGACTTGCTCCTCGCCGGGATCCCAGGGCGGGGGCCTGCAGCTGAGGGCTTTGGACTGGCGTGTAAAACACTCGGACCTCGGAGAGCCTAGGTCGACAGGACTGATTTTCAGTTTCTCATTTTCAGTTTCATCTAAGTTCCTGTTTTCTATGAACACGTGTAAGCCATTCTTCCCGTAGTAGACCAGAGCCACAGGCTGGCTATCCAGAATGGGTTTGTTCAGAGTTGTAGTTATTCACAGACTGTCTCAGTTGAGAGAACCAGAATTTTCTCACCTTCTCCTTGTTTATGCCAATGATGACATATATTCAGAATGTAATTTCATATATATATATTCTTATTCATTTATTTAACAAGAAACAATGAAAGCAATTACAACCTGTGTGCTTACAGGCACTAAGGTAAGTGTGTTATGTGTACACAGCCCTTATTCTCATAGTCTGTTAGCTTTACCCTAAAGCTGATATAAATAAGCCCGTGGGTTTGAGTAACCTGAACAAAGCTATGGAATTTCAAGGCGCCCCGCAGGGCCTGACTCGAGGCAGGAGACTGCACTCTCTGCCCTGACCACCGCTCTTTGCTGCCTCCACGAGGTCTGAAGACTTTCCCACACCGAATCTCCTCTCCACCCACCAGGACATACTCCAATCTTGGTTTTCACCAGAATTTCCCTCTCCCTTGAATGCTATTTTTCTAAAAATTTGTATAACTATATCCTCCTTATTGAGGCCCCAACCCATTCATTCATTCATCCATTCATTCAACAGTTAACTGCTGAGTCCTTGCTTCATGTCCACTATTGTACACACTGAGGTTATAACAATGAGAAAAACAGAAAAAATACATCTGAGCACCTAAAGATGTAGACAGAAAATAAATATAATAAAGCGAGACAGTATGCAGTATTGTCAGGAGGTAAGCGGTAGGAAATACTAAACAGGTATGGGCTTGGGAGTGTGGGCTTGCGTTTTACATAGGGACTACAGCTAGTTACCACTGTGAGTAACCCTAAACAGATGACTGGGTGCAGGGTGGGTAGCGGGGAAATGCATTCTAACCACCAGGCAGAGATAGTGCAGGTGCCGGGAGAGTGTCTGCCTGTGCTGGTCAGTTCTCGGGGCCCTGGGTACCTGAGCATCAGCACGGTGAGGAGACAGACGAGGTCAGCGTCTCTCCCAAGATCTGGGCTCTCCCTTGGGTTTTATCCTACGGATGCATGGACAAGAGCGCCACACAGGGCCCCGATGAGGTGGGAGAGAGATCAGAGGCTTGTGCTCACCTGGACGGGAAACCAAGTGAAATACTAAGAAAAAGGCAGTCGTCGTTAGTGACGAACATGCCCCAGGGGTCCTCGAGGTGAAGGTTAAAGTCACATGCTGACCTGAGCAAGGAATGGCTTTGGGTGGTCTCCCGGGCACAATTTCAGATACACAGAGGGACCGCAGCCAAACCGACGTGGGCTGAGGGATATGAGTGAAACTTAAGGCTGGGAGGTGGATAACAACACACTTCAAACCCAGACACGGGATATTTTTTAAGCAGGTTACAGAGAAGTCCAGCAAAAACATTCTTCTACCAATATTTTTTTCCTGAAAGCTTGTAGTAATTGCAATTGTTTTCATCAATATGATAAAAATATTTAAGGTAGTTTTCATATATTTATTTATATTCTGTCATAACTGGAGAAAAAAATTTTAGTTTTGCAACATGCCAGGTTCCTAAATGAAGTTTAGGACATGATAGGGTAACTGACTGTTTTAATTTTCCAAGGCTGCTATAATAAAGTATCATAACTGAGTGACTTAAAACAACACAAATTTATTCTTCCATGGGGTGGAAGCTAGAAATATAAAATCAAGGTATTGGTTGGACTGTGGGCCCTTTGGAGGCTCTGTGGGAGAATCTGCTCCTTGCAGAATTAGCTTTTTAGGACCACAGGTCTTCCTTGGGTCAGGCTGCTGACTCCAGTCTATGTCAGTGGTCGTACTTCCTCTTCCTGCGTTGCAAAACTTCATCTTTTTTCTGTCACATACAATCAAATAGAAGGATATGTGTGGCTGCATTTAGAATCCATTTGGCTTACCTAGGGCAAACATCTCTCGAAGTATTTAGTCAACTTTGTTATAAGTGGACATGGGCATAATTTTGGGTGGGCTGCTATTCAACCCACTGCATCCATAATACATGAGAAGTAGGAAATTCTCCTCCTTCCACCCCAAGGCAACATGGGAAGGGAGAAAGAAGAAGTGAAATAAAGAGAACAGACACTGGAACCTTATTAATTTTTAGGGTTCTAGTTTATTCTATTGTGAATAGTGGCATAGTTGTTTTTTGCTAGTTTCCACTGATTGTCAATATATAATTTGTCTTTGTGTCATTGACATTACTGCCATTCCTAGTCTCTTCTCTGTGTGGTGCTGGGGATCAATCTCACACAAGAGTGCTGGATGTGAAAAGATCCTCAGATAAAAATGAAAGAGAGATCCATCCCAACACAGGCACAAATCTCAATATAGAAACACAAGAAGTGTGCAGAAACAAGACAATATGCCTCTTCCAAATGTCTATAATTTTTCAGTAACTGAGTGCAAAGATATCAAAGTAGACGAAATGCCGAAGAATTCAAAAGATTAATTTATAAAATAATTAATGACTTCAGACAGAACATAATTAAACAGCAGAATGAATGAAGAAAAACAATGCAAGACCTAAAAGAGCAATTCAACAAAGAAATAGAGATTCTGGAAAATAAAATAGAAATTCTGGAAGTAAAAAGCACAAGTCGTCAAATAAAAACTCAGTGAAAACCACACTAAGAGAAGAGAGCAAGTAGAAGTCAAACTTTCAGGGCTTGAATATGGGGTTGAGGACATTAACAAGGGGCTGATTTTATTTTTTTTTAAACCAGGAAGCTATGAGTGCAACATCCACAAACGCTGGACCATGGGTCAAAGACCAAACTTGCGAGTTTGTGGTGTGGAAGAGAGCATGGGAATTCACACTAGTGGCATGAACCATCTATGTAAGGGAAAAACAGAAAACTTCCAAAATTGGGGGGGAAATATAGATATCCAGGCACAGGAGGCATTTAGAACCCCAAGTAAACACAACCAGAGAAGACCTTCCTGATAGCACATCACAGTTAAGATTCCAAGAGTACAAGGAAAAGAATATTAAAGGCTGCATGACAGAAATGCCAAGTTGCTTACACAGGCAAACTCGTAAGAATAACTTCAGACTTCTCTGCAGAATCCCTAAGCTCAGTAGGGCAGGGATTGTGTATTTAATAATTTAAATGACTGCCAACTGAGATTAATATATCCAACAAAGCTATCCTTCAAAATTGAAGGAGTGGTAAAGGCTTCCGAGATAAGACCCCCAAATACCTGAGGAAAGACAATGGGAAATAAACGAAAGAGATCAACACAATATTCAGTGTGCAACGAGGGCCAGGGGGAATCTGTCTCTAGTGGACGGGCTTCAGTTAACTCCATGGTGGGCTCACTTTTTTTATTCAGCAAGAAGCACAGGGCAGGGGCAGTGCACTATTCCAAGAACAGTGACGGCAGTAAGATTAGGATAGCAAGCCAGGGGCCAAGTTTAGAATTTCAAAGGGAGCAAGTTAAGGCATTTAACTCCCTGTACTGGGATACCTGCATTTCTTGTTGTCCCCAGTAGAAGTTATCTTGCCATAGGAGCACTATGATTATGGATTTCCCACATAGCCAGGAAGGCTGCGATCTTTCGCATACTTCTCTGTTCCTGAGGCAAGGTAACACCAACCTTGGGACTGGGGGGCCTGTAACCTGGCCCCCACCAATATATACACATTGTGGCTGGTCCCCAACACATGACCACTTAGCCAGCACTGCAGAAGACAACTAAGAGAATCCTACACACAAAAGAGGAAGTGTAGTTACGCTATTGAGAATTAGGACAGAATCAATCCAAAAATGACAAGAATTAGTCATTGTAGAAAGAAATCACCTTTCTACAATATCTCTGAGTGTAAATGGCATTAATTCTCCAGTTGAAGACACAGACTAGCAGACTGGATTAAGAAACGACACCCAGGGCCTGGGATTTAGCTCAGTGGTTTCGCCACCTGCTGCACAGGCGCAAGGACCCGAGTTTGATCCCTGGTACCAAAAAAAAGAAAAAAGAAACAACACCCAATTCTTTACTGGTTATAAGAAAAACACCTCACTAGCAAAGACAATCTCAGACTGAAGGTAAAAGTGTGAACAACAGTATTCCATGCAGAGAACCTGAAAACAAGCAGCAGTAACTATGCTCATATTCTGACACAACAGATTTCAAAACAAAATTAGACAAGACAAAGAAGACCGCTGCATATAGGTAAAGGGAAAAATCCACCAAAACAATATGACAGTTATATATGCACTGAACATTGGTGGATTCAATTTTATGAAATAAACCTTACTTAACCTAAGGTGATACATACCATAGGGTGACTTCAGTACTTCGCTCTTATCGATAGATACATTATCCTGACAAGAAATTAACAGAGAAACATCA